AGGACTTCAGTAGAGGGGTGGGTAGAGGGTCAAGCGAGCAGGTTGTGGGTTTGGTGGAGCTGATCAGTTTGAGTATTGCAGGGGAGTAACCAGGGGGATTTTCCCCTCCATGCTCTAACACAGGCAGGTTACTCTGCTGTCTAATTCCCCTCATCTTCTTAATCATTCCCCATACTTTATCTAATGGCGTAGTTCTCACAATACTTGAACAGAATCCTCTCCAACACTCCCTTTTTGCTCTTTTAACAATTGTCCTTACCTGAGCCTGTGCCATTTTATATTCTAATAAATTGTGTAATGAATGTGTCTTTCTTAACTTTCCAAACAGCCTGTTTTTGTTTCGGATTGCATCATTACATTCTTTGTTCCACCACGGCACCATCTTAACACATTTACTAAGTTTACCAGTTTTATTCCCAATAGTTTGATTAGCGCTTTTAATTATATTTGATGTAAATTGCTCATTTATTTCATCAATACTTCCTGCCATATCAATCTTATCAAATTCATTATCACACAATTTAGCAAACATCTCCCAATTTGCTTTAGAAAAAGTCCATCTCATGATACCGTCTAGCTCAACCACATTACTTATATCAAACTTGATTATAATCGGAAGATGATCACTCCCAATACGGTTATCTGCCAATACTTCCCAACTGCTACCAGAAGCTAATTCACTTGTTACCAGAGTTAGATCGATCGCAGACTCTGTTCCATCTCTAAAATTGAGTCTTGTACCTTGCCCATTATTTAAACAAACTAATTCCTTTGCCTCCATTACGTCCTCCACCACCTGTCCGTTGTAATCTGTTGATCTCCCTCCCCACATTGTATTATATGCATTAAAATCACCACACCATATTATTTCATTTCCTTGACAAAGACTGTCTAATTCCTCTATTTTGAGTTTATTACATGGATTATAAAAATTCAGGACACTAATTTTCCTTTTATTAACCCAAACTTCTACACCCACTATTTCTAAATCAAGACTGTTCTTAAATGTTAGCCTACTATAAGACATTATTTCTCTGATAAAGATTGCACATCGCCCTCCCTGACCATCATTTCTATCTTGTCTTATAGCACTATATCCCCCAATAATGAAGTCCAAATGAGTCTTCAGCCATGTTTCTTGAATACAAATAACATCTGGTTTTTCTTTGAACTGATATATATATAGGTCTTGAATTCTTGTCCATTTGCAATAAGGCTTCTAGCATTCCACTGCAGAATGAGAAACACCATTCATCTACTCACTCATCTGTGAATCATCATTATTGGGGGCTAGCATATCATGTAGCATTTCAACGGTTATATCCTTTATCCCCAAAGATGCACCTGCTGCTTCCACTATTGTTTTCAGTCTTGACCTCTTTTTTGCTTGTTGCAAAGCAACATTCACCACTTTTCCAATAAAGGCCACAAAGTTGTACTTATTAACAATCAATGCATCCTCTCCTATCACACACTTATGTGAACACTTTGTGGAGCTTTCCTTTGCCTGGGAGTTTGGGAAAATCTTCTGAAGAGAATATACTTGCTGCTACTTGGGATTTCCTAGCTATGTTTAGTGATACCTTTTCTGTTGCTTCAGCATATGAGACTTTATTTTGCACTTTGTATCTCTGCACCTCCTTGGCCTTTTTCTGCACTTCGCAGCGCTGATACGCAGCACTATGTTCCCCACCACAGTTACAACATGTCACCTTAGCACCTGCAGCACAACTACCATATTCATGTTCCCCCGCACATGTTGGACACCTGGGCTTAGTTGCTTTGCACTTGTCTGCCACATGCCCAAACCTTTGGCATTTAAAGCACCGCAGAGGTTTATTGATGAATTCTCTTACTGGAAAGCTCATGCAACCTATCATTATCTTCTGTTGAATTCAATCAGGAGAGACGGTTTTGATGTAATAATACATATTTATTGCGCAGATGCACAAATGAATGCAATGGTAATTTTGGCGATTAGGCCCCGTTGTGCAGGAAGTATCATTCTGGAGGGTAGAACCGATCCGATGAAACCCCCCTGGGGTCTAGACACTGGTGGTGGTGAATGGATAGTTGGGTCGGTCTGAAGAGGAGTGGTTTAGCTTGACCCTGGATTCAGAGGGACAGGAGGTGAAAAGGGGGTGGAGGAGGGTTGCGCCGATCCACCTGGAATGAGAGCTGTCAGAGGGGAGAGGAGATTTAAAAGGTTTGACAGAGCGCTATGATAGGCTTTTGGGAATAGAGCGAAGTGATTGGTTAAGCTGAAGAGTGACGCCCCCGGGCACTTATTGAGAGGAGAGAGAGTAATAACATGGGAATAGAAATACATGAATGAGTAGAGACGGTCTTCCTGGTTGAACTTGCGCTGAGCTTCATTTGTTTCTTCAAACTGAAGAAGAACAGACAAACTATCCACTATCTTACCCTGATACCTAGTAGGAAGACGCTTAACTACAGACACTTTGCCCCCTTTCATTTCTTTCTTGAGTTCTTCCATGCTGATTTCTATCGGAACTCCACTGATAACTCCAAGTCTTTTCCCATTTGCTCCAGGAACATGGCATTTAATTCAAACTTCATTCAGGGTCTTCATTTTCAGTAACTTTTCCTGTTGTTTTGCATTCATCATTTCTACCAACATCCGTCCTTTGCTCAGAAATCTTGCTTGCTTTATCGATCCAATTTCTTTGTGAATCGCTTTAGTCAGGGCCACTGGATGTAGCTTAGCTGCTGATTGCTCACCAAACTCCACAATCACTTTCCACTCTTCATTCTCAATCCTTTTCTTTACTTTCTTCAATTCATTCTGCGAATCAGATTCACTGAGACTGTCACTTGACATGTCTATCTTCTTTCTTGAATTCTTTTTTCTTACTTTATTCCATCCTCCTTCTCCTTCAGATGCACTTTCCATATCCTCCACTCCAGGACTCAAAGACGCCATTCCACCAGCTGCTCTCAATCTCACCTGCCCACTTCAAACAGGCTTACAATTATGAACCAAACGCATGTATCTGTATTGATGTGAGTCAGAGCTGGAGTGTAATGAAGTACATTCACTCATACTGTTCCTAAGTACAATTTTGAAATACTTCTGCTTTACTTGAGTATTCCCATTGTATGCTACTTTATATCTACTCGGCTACATTTTGAAAGCCAATATTGTATGTGTTACTCCACTACATTTATTTGACAGGCAGCTTTAGTTAGTTACGTTTTAGATCTAGATCATTATCTAATACAAATCAACCAATAAACCAACATATTGATATATTAATATATATATTAAGATATTACGATATCCAGAAGCAGTATACAAAGTCATTTGGGGTCTGCTACTGTAATATATTGTGAAACTTATCTAGAACATTTTATATTGAGTATTCTTGTGGTTCATGTCCTTTATACTGTAGATATGTACATAGACTTGCTGCTGTTTTTGTTGTTATTTTAGTTCATTTAATTTATTATGTTTATACTTTCTTCCAGCTTTAAAGATTTAAAGATTTAAATGTCTGTCCACTTAGCTGCTGCAATAAAAATGATTTCACAAATGGGATCAATAAAGTACCTATCCATCCATCTATCTATCTATCTATCAATCAATATATCTATTTAAATGAGCTCTACACTTACGATTTGTTATAAACGCATAAATGCATCAATAATCACAATTTATAATTAAATATGATTCTGAAATGGGTCTTCAGGCATAATGGGTACTTTTACTTTTGGCACTGTTACTTCTTGTAACAGAGTAGATTTTACATTATATGTATTGCTACTTATACTTAAGTAAAAATCGAAGTACTTTACCACCACTGTGTTAGAATAAGTATTGTGTAAAACCTAAAAAATCCTAACACATTTTTAACATGATATATATGACATTCATCAATCGCAGACTTACCAGCCATTTTATTAGGTACACTTTTTCAAAAATATTTTCAAGATCTGCTTCAGGTTTCCACGTGTTGAGTGTTCAGAGATGGTCTTCTGCACCTTGGCTGTAACCACTGATTATTTTAGTTACTGTTGCCTCTTATCATCTTGAACCAGTCCATTCTCAACAAGGCATTTTCTCCCAGAGAACTGCCGCTCACTGGATATTTCCCTTTCTCGGACCATTCTCTGTAAACCCTAGAGATGGTTGTGCGTGAAAACCCCAGCAGTCAGTTCATCAGCAGTTTCTGAAATACTCAGACCAGCCTGTGTGGCACCAACAACCATACCACGTTTAAAGTCTCTTAAATCTCCTTTCTTCCCCGTTCTGATGCTCTGTCTGAACTTCACCAGGCCGTCTGGACCGTGTCTACATGCCTAAATGCATTGAGTTGCCGCCATGTGATTGGCTGATTAGATATCTGCGTTAAGGAGCAGTTGAACAGGTGTACCTAATAAAGGGGCCATTCAGTGTATATTTGTATGGTACATTTTTTACATAAACGGATGCAAAATAACAGGACGTTTTTTATGTAACTTAAAAGAACATAATACCATTTAAAGAACATAATACAATTCAAACATACAGACAATAAAAGAGTAAGACTTAAATAAATAAAACTGTCAACATGTAAACATGTATGCCACTTCTTTTTTTAGGTTATTAAGTTAACGCTCATTCTTCTATGAACAATAATGTTGACTACATGTTTTTTTTTCAATAAGAAATATTGAAAAGAATACTTTGACAATGTATATTGAGTAATTAAACATGTTGCTACCAAAACTATAGTGTCTGTTTTTGGCAGGCCTTAAAAACCCTTTAATATATGATAACAGTAATGGTTTCTGATCATTTTTGGCAAGTGTGTGTGTGATGGTGGGGGGCACCACCACACACACACTTGCCAAAAATGAAAGAATAACAAAGGTTTAGTATAAAGCAAATGTTAATATACAGCCAATGTGTGCTGTCATTATTCAATATTGACTTTTGATTGTAATGCTGAATCACTCAGAAACAGATTTGATTGACCAAAGACAGCATGAACACCTTGGAAAGATATCAACAGTTGTTTTTTATTTTTCAGCCTTTAGAGTCAACATCATATTTTGAGGACATTATGACCTTTAGATGGAGTGAACAATCAGTTGGCGCACCTGAATGAAAAAACAAAACAACTTTAAGGCTAAAGGCATACATTCAACAACATCACTTGAAATACATTAAAAGTTAGGGAAAAGAAGGTGGATGAACACGAGATTATAGCAGGCTTAACAAAGCTAAACACAAAACTGGCAATGAATAAACCATAAGTAAGTATATGACAGTGTTAGATTGTTCCAAAAATGAAAATGATCTATTTCACAGACTCAAATTAAGTACCATAGCATCTTCAGAATATATAGTGCCATACTTCAGAAGGACCGAATCACTCTTGAATATGAATTAAGACTCATTAAACAGTGTCGACACTGTCTGTAAAATAAAAAGTCAAAATGGCAAAAGACAATTTCAAAAAGAACATCTCTTGTAGATTAGGAAATCAAATGATCAAAGGCTAATGATTGTCATATATTTCAGACATACATTGTGGTATAATTATCACTGGTAATGAAGGTAGATGAGTAGTAACACATATATTCACCCCTCAATGGTCACAGATACAAGAGCAACCTAACCTGAAGCACATACAAATATAAAATACAAACATTAATGATAACACAGCAATTATCCATGTCACATTTTAAAAGACAGAAGAACATAACAAATGCATCAAAATGATGTGAGCTGCACTGTGTCCACAGGACTGTCTCAAGTATAACTCTGTGACTAAATGTCCTTCAGCATTGAAAAGGCATTTCCTCTTTTTTTAAATATCTTCAACCTAAAAAAAACAAATATTAAAATGATCCTATACTGAGGAAGATGTTTAACTACCTGCATCTTTACGGTGACCACAGGTATCCTGTTTGATAGTTCACAGATTATCATACAATCATTTACTCTGAATGTTACGCAAAGGAAATGATTCAAGATTCAAACAGACCAGTTGTTGCTGATCTCATGTTTTGCCATTGTTACCATGTGCCACAATCTCTAACTAATTTAACTGTCAAAATATAATAACATTTAGATTTATCTAAGACAGGGACAAAATAAAATAAGACTTAGATAAGATTCCAGGGTAGCAGTTTAAACAAAGAATTTCAAAGCTACATTAACCTCCTCCTTCTGAGGCTTAGGTACTAAATGTGTTCCTCCACCTTTAACCCAGAACTCAAGCTAAATAGACACAGTACCTACAATGTGCTACTCTTAGGTCTAATGCCTAAAACAATTTTAAATATAAGTACTGGCTAACAATGAGCCGAGTCATTGAATAAAAGTATAATATAGAATATTTATAAATTGATTGTACAATGCAAATTTGAAAACCCTGAACCAAAACATCTAAACATCTAAAGTCTACTCATAAATTAGCACTCTTATCTGAAAGGGGGGGCGGGGGGTCCCTTCTTATTATTAATAGCTTAACAGTGTAAGACTAAATACATTTGAACAAAGAAATAAATTATTGTAGTTGCCTGGTTTACATCTAAGATTATTTCCCTTGTAAAAAAACTACCAAAACATATCTTCAAAAAAATAGAATCTGTAGATGCCATCTTTCACTAAAAGGATAATCTCACAGACGTCCTCCCTTTATATTACAGTGTTATTCATGTTGCATGACCACAGACTGTACAAGTAAAAGCAAGGTGGGGTGGGTGTGGTTATCCATTCTGTAACAGTCCATCGATACAGTGCAGTGACTGCAAATATTCTCATAGTCACCGAGCTTGAAGTGTGTCAGTCACTGGAGTTCAAGTTCTGTGTGTCCCAGGTTCCTCAGAGACACAGCTGCTCTGGAGGGTCTATCAGACTCGGGCCTATCTCTTGTAGTGGCTGGGTGCGTCTGCAAACATGTACATTCAGTCTATAAGCTTCAGCCAGGAGGAGGCCCACTTCCTCGTTACCCCAATGGATTGTGGGAAGGTTCTGCAGTAGCATAAGAAGGCCCTGAGGAACAACAGAAATCACACTTATAGACACTGGTTTGGAAGGCAGGGGTTAATACAAAATACATATAGCATTTCAAATACAGTTCGGGGGTTACTATAAAATAGTAACTGCTCAGTGGTCCTCAGGTATGGAATGAGACAAAACTATTAAAATGTCTTTATCTATGTTTGTCTTGAAAAAGCACTTACAGTAAAGCAAATATGTCAGAGATGTAATACATGTATGCTGAATGGCTGTGGACTTCTACACAAATGTACTTTCCTCTGAAATCCATATATATTTACCATAATTTTCCTCTAATGTGTCTGTGTTTATTATCTTACCTCTTTTTTAACAAATGTTTAGACTGATAAAATAAATACTTCAGCCCATTAAGTGGTCAGGGTTATGAGTAGCTCTAAGGGTTTTTGGTCTAGGGCGGGGTATGTATGTGGGTTGAAATGTATCTGTATAATACACTCCTGAACAAATCTAGAGACCGGGGGAAAAATTACAAGAACCAGCATTTCGCACTGGTGGATCGTAACCAGGTCAAATGCAAAAAGAAGAAACAGGAGCAAGAGACCAATAATAGAGAGTAGGCCATTATTATTATTGAACAGGCTGATCATCAGCTGATTAAAAGTTTAAGACCATATCCTTGAAATGTCAAAATCTGCGTAAAAATCATGACCTTCCTGATGGCAAAGGCAGAAGGCTCTGTCTTTGAACGTGGCAGGTTGTTGAGCTGCACAAGCAAGCTGCCGAGGCTGGATGCAGTAAGACGGTCATTTTTACATTTCTTAAAAGATCCTGAGAGTTTTGGGACGCAAAAGTCAAGTGGTAGACTCTCTGCGAGAGAAGGGCTTAAAGAACAAAAACGTCTAAGAAAGTTGAACTCTCTGACGAGAAAACATTTAACCCGGATGGTCTTGATGGCTTCCAACGTTCCTGTCATGACAAGGAGCTCCCACTGGAGATGTTTTCTACGGCACAGTGGAGGACGCTCCATCATGATCTGGGGTGCTTCTTCCTTCAAGGCACAATGGAGCTTCAGGTTGTGCTTTATATGGCTCTGTGGAGATGTTGCAGCAGGCATCCCTCTTGACTGAGGGCCCTCGTCTGTGCGGTGATGACTGGGTCTTTCAACAGGACAACGCCTGCCTGACGAAGGACTTCTTCCAGGAGAATAACGTCGCTCATTTGGACCATCCAGCCTGTTCCCCTGGTCTAAATCCCATTCAGAATGTTTGGGGATGGATGGCAGGGGAAGTTTACAAAAATGGACGTCAGTTCCAGACCGTGGATGCCCTTTGTGAAGCCATCCTCACCACATGGAGCACGTTCCCACAGCCTCCTGGAAACACTCAAGCATGCCTAAACACATCTTGATGTTATCAACAAACAAAGGGGGGGCTACTCACTACTGAGTTTATTTTTGACACTTCTGTTTGTTGGTTTTTTAGGCTATGGTCTTTGATGGGGAGATCTTTAGAATTGGTCTGGCAACCTCTGTGACACCCTCGTGGCACAGCACATGTCTTGTGAATTCTCCGGCCGAAGCTCCAAATAAACCATCAGTGTTTGCCATCAAAGTTCCAGCTCTCCCCGTGTCTCTCTGAGTCCTGTCTCCATTGCTTCAGAAGTTTTTTTAACTTTTGATCAGTTGATGAACAGCCTGTTTAAATGCAGTTTTCAATAGATTGCCTAGTCTCTATTTTTGGTCTCTTGCTCCTGTTTCTTAATAAACCTGTCTATACAGTACTGTAAGTCTTGCTACCATCTGCTGCTTCATCAATCAATATGTATTGATTACTTTCTGACCTAAGTGTGGAGGACTAAACTGATCTGTACCTGAAAGTCCACCATGGAGAGGATTTCTTTGCGCCACTCGATGAGGAAGGCAGAACAGACGTACAGGTGGAAGTGTGTGAACCCCTCTGTTTCAGCCTGTGGAAAAAAGAGAAAGACATGAACAGGGAGAACCAAGTCTGTCCAGCACTAGGAGATTACTTCTAGAAAGATTACTTTCTACTGTGAGGGTTTGCTCGTAGTATACACTCTACCCTGGTAGGTGTCCCAGAGACGAATAGTGCAACGAAGCGGCAGCTCCCTCATCAGCAGATTGTTCATCCACCGGAAAGCAAACTGCAGATACTCCACCTCGTACCTCTTGAAATGATTGTGAATGTCCTCTGGAGACAGACACACACAAACACATATGGGTTTCTGGTTTAATAGGTCTTATCTGGGATCAGCTGGTGTAGTCTTATATCACCTTTACATGTATGAGCTCATAGTAAATGCCCCAAAGAGGAATGAGCAACAGAGCGAAGACCATGGTGACCTAAAGCCTAATGTGACACTCTCTGACTCACCATCTATCCTGCTGACCAGCTCCTCTAAAGCTTTCACTTGTTTCTGGATTCCAGGCTGAGCAAAGTTGTAGTTGTCCTGAAAAGAAAGCCCCTTCAGTCAAATGGATCATTTACAGTTTTGAACTAAATGTTTATGAGGTGTATGTGCGTGAACAGACCTGTATTCCATCCAGCAGCTTGCTCATGCACCAGAAGCTGTCAGCTTCGATGTTTCTCTGGTGTCCAGAGGCAGCGGCAGCCACCTCAGAGTTCTCCACGTCTTCTGTTGGAACAACAAACAGCACGAGTGAGAGGGAAAAGGGCCTGCCTCACACAGATGACTATTGGGCTAGGAGACGTGATATACCTGCCAACTTTGTAAACAATGTGAAAAAATTAAGGCACAAACAATCCATTTATAAAAATAACAGTCTACACACAAATTTGGACAGGACACGGGTCTAGTATAGTAGACTAGACTTCTAACAAATGAATATATGACAACAGTACAATGATATCAGGTAGTGGAGAGTATGCTGTAGTGCAAATAACAGCCCATAGCAGCAAACAACTACATTGTACACAGATATAAAACAGAGAGACTGTTTTGAAACAGCGAAAGCAGAAACAATGGGCTGACTCAAGTCATTTCTGTCCAGTGTGAATATAACGGGGCTCTATGCCAGCGACTTACTGACAACTCGGAGAGGAAGACGACAAAGAAGGGCGTGACCAGATCATTGATCCCCTGGACGTAGCGCTGGCCGGGTGGCGGATGGCCCCGATAAGAGAATACGCTCAAAACACCTGCAGACACAGACAGTACAGACTTTGACTCACTGTATTTATTTTCTTATTACAGACAGTAAACCTTTTTTTTGTGCACATAGGACAACAATATGTTTTTTAAGATTAGATTAGGAGATGCTAACTACATTTCCTTACCAGGTTTGCAAAAGAAGCAGTAAAGTGCCGAGTAATGTATGGTAATAATATACATTTTTAAAACTGTATAACAGTTATATATGGGTATACACACTATAAACAGTAGTAAATAAATATAATACACTATAGAGCTGGTATAAATATAGACACTATAAATGGAATAAATATGAATACACTAAAGAAGATAGAACCCTATATAGACAGTTTTATAAATAGAATATGTATGTGTGTGTGTGTGTGTGTGTGTGTGTGTGTGTGTGTGTGTGTGTGGTGTGTTGGGGGGGGGCAGGCAGCTGTCATCGTGGTGGATTCATGCAAGAACCTGAAATCACATGCACAGTCCTCAGGATACAGACGCCTCATCAACACAAATGACATGCTTATTACCACATATTTGCTGCTTTTGATTTGACTGATGCTGGCTTCCTATCACTGGCTGCTTGTTGATCATTAAAACTTAATACTACTTGTTACAAAAATCCGTTGAAAGACACTCGCCCCAGTCAAGTTTATCCTACTGCCTATGACCCTGAGATCCTCAGGTTCCACTTCCTTGTGCTTTCAAGGTTCAGATTCTGATGCTTAAGTTTGTTTTATTCTCTTGAAATGTTTTCGTTCCTATTGTAAAGCACTTGACCGTGAATTATGAATAAGTTTATTGTTATTTGTATTATGACTACGTTTACAGATGTGTGAATGTATGTGACACTAAACTATTTATTGTGATTTGATCCACATTACCTTTATAAGCAGTGTGTCTGTTACAGAAGTGCCTATTGTGGTTTCATGTTAATAGCATTGCAGAATTATAGTATTATTGCAGCTTATTTTATTTTTGATGATTAAAGGGTTAGGTCAGTAAATTAGTATTGCACCTCCAGATGTTGGGCCACTCCCAAGAAATATATTGAAATAAATACCTTTTTTATTTATTTAGAAAGCTACCTTCAACCGTGTCATGTCATTAATATGAATATTTACTGTAGTTGCCAATAAATTAAATCTATTAAATGCCTTTGTTCGATGTCAACTGACGATTCTCTGAATGTGTAAACAAAACTTCAATATGAATCAGAATATGTACATAATGTGATAATGTCATTACAACTAATTCATTGGAAGTTAATAATGTTGAGCATAATGAACTAGTGATGCCCCTGCTGTCGTTTTGCTGTGATTAAACCCGATCACAGGTTTATTGGTAAATGTGGAGACAAATCTTCAGTGTTATGCAAGACAAAAAGAAATCTGAACATTTGAGGAACAAGCTGTTCTGAGTGAAGTTCCTCTTTCTCAGCACAGATCCTCTGTAGTGCAGTAATCTGATGCAGGCTCCTCCTCTGTGGCTAACACATACTGCCACAGTTTCAGCACAATAGCATGGACGTCACTTATCTACAGAAGATTACATTACATTGCATTTAGCTGACGCTTTTATCCAAAGCGACTTACAATAAGTGAGATGACATCTAAGTGTAACAAAAGGCACAGCGTCTCCAATCTCATTTGTTTCTACATGACGTAATGCCATGTCGAGATTTCCTGAAATAAATCATTACCTCATCAAGGCCTAAACTGTTCTTAAAATGAAATGTATTCATAAAACCCATAAAGTAGTTTCATGAACATTGTGACATTAACCAATGTATTCTTATTCTGGATTTGTTCTTTGGTAAGAACAGAATCTAAGCATAATCAAGACATGTTTGTGCAAAATTACTTATATCATTTCAAAATTGTTCTATACAAGAAAAATTATTATATTCTATATGAAATAGAACTGGAATAGTTCTATTTAATATCATTATTTCACAAATCCTGTTCTTTTAAAATAAACAACCACTAACAATGCAACACTAAACGAGTAGTTAATAGCATAAATTGCATTTTTTTTAAATATATTTTATATAGTATCTGCTACTGACGGTCACTTCCTGCAGAATTGTTTCCTCTCCCTCTTTAGATGTTCCTTTGGGCCTACTTGACTTAAGTCTCTTAACTTTTCTCTCACTCTGTGAATGTGAACATGGCTTTGCAGTCTCATGCCTTTTATGGAGTTGGCACTTTATTCTGCTGACTAACCCACCAATCTAGCTTCATACATGCTCCTGCCAGATGATCCAAAACAATGGTTATGAAGTTCTCCAGAGGCACTCTGGATGAACCTCTGATGTGTCCAACAGTCAGATCTTACCTCTTGTACTGCCGGCTGCTGGAACAGGGGAATCAGAGGGTTGGTTCTGGGAATATCGATGTGGATCTGACAGGAAGAAACAGGATTGAGATGCTACTCAAGATAATAAAAGCAGACACTTGATGTTCGTGTACACCGTCTTCATCTAAATAGCAGTAGTAAGTGCAGTGTTACCTGTCTGTAAGTGTCTTTATAGTGCTCGTCTGTTCTGGAGTGGTAATACTGCTCTATGAAGCCAAAGTATTCCTCTCGCTTCCTCTTCATCACCAGCTCTCTGCGCTCTTTGTTGGCTGGCAGGTAGCCCTGTCAGAGAGAAGATAAAGAAGAAAAATGTTTTTTATTCAACTAATATATATTTAATGTATACAGACAAGTTACATAGAAACAAAGTAAGGTGAGGTGGGAAAGCAAAAAGCATAGCTTCTAAACCCTTTGTGAGTTATCCAATGAGATCATTTTCTGTGAAAAATAAATTGAGAAAGCAAGTGTCATGGTGTGAATTCATGTAGTAGCTGAAATAATATCAAAAAAAGACAAGAAATAGAAAATAAATGTCATACAAGTACATGAACAGATCATTATCCAATTCACTATAACACATATAATCATTTTTAAAGATGAAGCAAAAACCATGAAAGTCTTTTGTTATTAGAAATTCATATTTCGTTTGATTGCTGAGAAATAATACTTGAAAGATGTGGCTTCAGTCCATTTCATATTTTTTACAGACTATCGATAATCTGTGTGACTCAATGCTTGTTCTAAGTGTTGGTTTGCCAGTAAAAGGGACATTTTCAGCCATTTAAGATAAAAGAAGGACAGGATTTAAGGCTGTTTGTGATGATAAGGTTTCTGACACTATGTGAGTCCTTTCTAAAAAGGAATCGACTGGCATTGGCTACACAGAAATGTTTAATTTGTTTAAACATGGGCTCTCATACAGGATCTGTGTATCCAATGAGTTGCATCAAGCCAAGACAAAGCAGGGCATGTGATGAAGCAGAGCTGAATGTCATGAGACTTACAGAGAGGAGTCTCCATGTGATCGGCCGGACTTCTCGGGGAATGCCCGACCAGCTGTGCTTCCGGAGTTCCTCTGTAACAGCAGAGTGCGGTGTGAACACATTTAAACACACAGCTGGCTGTATATCACAGTGTAGTGTGAAACCAATTATTACATATGCTCTACCTAGGTCAGTGTTGGGACTGGCCAGCAGCTGCTTGAATTTGTCCAGCCGGCTCTTCTCCCGCACCGTCATGGGTGGGGCCCCCGACGCGTTCTGGTCCGACATGCGAGCCACCAGTGGGATGATGGGACGGACTGGGAGAGACTGCTGCTTCTGCAGGCTGGAGCGGACTGCCGGGGCCACACAACAATATTGAGAATATTATGCATATAACATGTAAATGTGACATAATTATAAATGTCACATCTCCTTACTAAGTTAGCCCTCTAATGTGTGTATTTAGTTACTGTGCTCCATATATCTGGAATAATCTGCAGGTCCGCTGCAACTCTCACTTCTTTTAAATCAAAGCTGAAGACTTTCTTTTGCCTCTGCCTTTTAATAAATAAAATAACTATTCATATCTCACAATGCACTTTGACTTTTATACCTGCCTTTTTTAGCTTGTTTTTATTTGAATTCTCTCGTCTATTCAATATATCAAATGTGTTGAATGTAATTATACTGTATAATGTCTTAATGTCTTCAAATGTTTTTTTGTGATGCACTATGAATTGAGTCCCTGAGGTACTTTGCCTGGGGCCACGGGTCCCAAATGTCAAAAGCTCAGTGGGTGACTTGAGAGCAGTCTGAAAATTCAGAAGTCAGGTGACTGCTGACACATTCAGGTGACATTTTACAGCAAGTCAGCTGGTACTACTGATGTAGAGCCCTGCCTGAATATCTGAGGCTACACACGGACACGTGGGGGATCATGAATGTCATCCAGAACTAATGTTGCATTTTTTCCATTTAGCGCTTTTAGCTCTAGCTTTAGTATGATAGTTTTCATCCTACATCAGGAGATATTTATGATGTTTTTTAAGCATAATTCTGTCTCAATAATTTAAAATAGTTTCGTACAGATGCATATAGTAAGTGTCACTGGAAACACATACGTTCACAAAGAGATGAGAACAATTGGACGAACACGCTTTAGGCCTGATAGAATCACAATACTTGCAGTATTAGCTCTGCCCGA